TAGTACAGTGGATAATCAAATCCACTTCCAGGGGAAAACAGAAGTTGACCCTTCTAAAATGGTCGCTAGAGGGCCTATGCCCCTAATAACAAAACCTTATTTACCTTCTGCTCCAGAATTCTGATATGACTAAATGCCACAAGGCTTGAATACATCATGCGAAAGTGTACTTCTGCTAGATAAAAAAATAAAAAACTTCATGGTTCATTCAGTGACTGGGGACAACCAAACCATTCATGGTCTAAAACCCAGAGATTGTATCTTCTGAAATGATATCAGAAAAAGACTGCCCTTGGCTAGGGACAGTGGCTCATACCTGTAATCCGAGTACTTTGGGAGGCCAAGGCTGGTGGATCACCTGAGGTCAGGAGTTCGAGACCAGCCTGGCCAACATGGTGAAACCCTGTCTGTACTAAAAATACAAAAATTAGCCACTGGATGTGGTGGTGTGTGCCTCTAATCCCAGCTACCTGGGAGGCTGAGGCAGGAGAATTGCTTGAACCCAGGAGATGGAGGTTGCACTGAGCCGAGATCCCGCTGCTGCACTCCAGCCTAGGTGACGGAGCAAGACTCCATCTAAGAAAAAAAAAAAAAAAGATTACCCTTGCCACCTACACTACAGCAAAACTTTGGGGCCTCAAAGCTTGGGTTCATAATCTCACAACTCAGAAGGGCCCTCCAGACTCTTAGAACTATACACCCATTAGAAACCTTAAGATAAAGCTAACCAGGAAAGTTTCACCCCCTAAACAGATGACATCGTAGACATGGACAGCTTTCCCAAGATCACAGATCAAGACTCCTCTGCTATTCTCAGACTTTTACCTCTCTTAATTTTTTCCTTGCTTATGCCTCTATGAATAATAAAACTAAAAAGGGGATTTGTGTACATCATAAGGTATACTTTTATTTGTAGAGAACTTTGCAGCCAGCATTATACATTGACAATCTTAAGCCTGGGTAGAAAAGATAAAGGACCAATGTGAGCAAAAATATTTAATGGCATCTTTATTCTTCCATAATCAGAAACAGAACATTGGTTCATTCCTTTTCACCTACGTCATCGGTTTAAAAGAACATTGCCAGGGATCCTTCCCTCTTCTAGTGAAGTTTAAACATGGAGTTTCTTTAAACTTTTCTAGACATAATTCTTATGCCCCCTTTTTCATAATATGAAGGAGACAATGATTAAAATTTGTTCCTCATAATAGGCTTTATAATGGATTCTACTACAAAGACTGTGATTACACAACAGACATCTTTAAGTTCTCTTGCTAAGGTTGTGCTGGATAATAAAATTACTCTAGATTACCTACTAGATAAACAGAAAAAAAAATCTCTACCATGACTGATACTACTTGTTACATGTAAATAAATACATTGAATATTATAGAGATTTGGTTTTAGGGTGTTAATAAACAGACTGCTGGGTTAAAACAAGTAGACTCTTTGTCTGGCTCATTCTTTGATCTATTTCATTTTAGTTGGTTTGATTCACAGAGATGCTGACTAAGGAGCATACTCCAAACTCCTGATATGATCCTCTTGATCATTATAATTGTCTCTCTACCACACTATGTTCTCTCTCTTTAATTGAGATGACAAAAAGTCAAAAGTGTGTTCTCATAAAGACTTCATAACCAATAAATAATGTACTGAGACCAAAACTGTAAAATAATGGTAACTGAAAATGGCATTAAAAGTCTACTGGTCACACTCACTTAAATAAAATCCTGACCAAAAGGAAGAAATTGTTAAACAAAATTAGAAGATGCTGTTATTTTGGACTGAGTTCATACTCTGGGCCCCAGCAGAACAGACCAGAACAAAATAGAGTCACTCATGCTAAGTGTGACATAATCAAACTAAAACTTTTAAAAAGTCCCAGACAGGTAAGCCGTAAAACAGATCCAAGTTTTCTTTCTCCTCTACTAAAAGCAAGATATTCCAACACAGAGAGGTCCCCTCTACTCTCTTTCAAAAAAAATAACCTGAAAGCCTGGTTCCCATCTTACAAAGCTCACTGTTCTGCTATTTCCCAGTGAGACATAAGACCAAATAAATGCCTTTACAATAGTGGCACAGTGACATCAATGCCTACAGTTTTGGTTCACCTCTCAATTTTGAGGGGAGCATTGCTAAATTTAGCCTAGAACTGCCTCCTTACATATTTTAAGTTTGGCCTAAAAGTTTCTCTGTACGTAGTAAACTGTAACCAAACTGAGTGCCCTAACAGACCACCTTGTGCCTATTACTCTCTTACCAATCAGACAATCAAGGCAGCCAACTGTTCAAACTATGTTCAAGTAAGACAAAATCTGAGCTGTAACCAGTTCAGCCGTTTCTCACTTCTATTTTCTATAAGTTGCTTTCCTTTTTCTGTCTGTAAATCCTCCCTGACCACATGGCAGCGGCAGAGTCTCTCAATCTGTTCTGGTTCAGGGGGTTGCCCGATCTGTGAACCCTTTATTGCTCAATTAAACTTTGTTACATTTAATTTATCTAAAGTTTTCTTTCTTTTAACATTGGTGTTCATGAAATATTTGTCAAGGAAAGGAGGGTGGAATGGGTTGGACGGAGGAACAGATGGATGAATACCCAAAAGTATTACTGTTTCTTTTTATGCCAGAGTCATGTTTGTTTATTTCCAAAAATACTGCTTTTATTCAGGGCTCCCCAATTCCTTGCTGGCCCACTGAAAACCTGGCTACCTGGATCCATTCTCTGTCCCCATGTAGCTATGCGATTTGGGGTAAGTAAGGATAAAGGCCAGCATGATAACCCTAAGTGCCAACCATGTGCTGAGCATTGTTCTGAGTGTTTCAAATGTTTTAATAGATTTAATCCTCAAAACAACCCTATGATATAAGTACAGTTGGTATCCTTGATTTACAGTTGGGACACATAGCGGGTAAGAAAGGTCGCACAGACAGTAGATGATGGGGCTGAGATTTGAATCCATGTAGTCAGGCCCTGGGAGCCTCGTTCTTAACCTCTATGTCGTACTTCTATAGCCACTGCAGTAAATATGGGCTGAATGAATGCATGCATGAATATATACCCTAAGGTATTCTCTAGATGTTAATTTTCTCAGGTTGTTATGTAATTTGTGTTCTGCCTGTCTTCATTTAACACACACACACACACACACACACACAAATTGTCACAGTTGTCAGTCCTTTAATGGACGAGAGCTTCATAAAGCTTTTCTTCTCTTCAAAAAATTGAAAGGAACTATCTTGAGATTTTTATTCATCCTTAACTTTTTTGAGTTTGATAATTTGTTGAATTTGGCAATGAAAAACCATATTTTCAGAGACATGGATCCTTATTTTTGCTGGACTGTAGATGAAGTTTGACAAACCACATCTTGTTCCCTAATGTTACTTAAATGTATGTACTCAGATGGCACTGGTCATTCTACAGAGGGTAAAGTATGTGTTCCTTTCTGGGTCAAATCAGATTTTGGCTTCTTGGCTTATTGTTCAGCCCTCAATGTGAATATCTAACACATAATCACAAGCTTAAGGTGTCGTGTCTCAGGAAATTGTTGCTCTCCATTTCTTGGTCATATGTCTGGTTGAATGCTCAGTAGCAGTAACTTGAGATAAGGTTTTGGAAAATGTCCATATTCAGGGCATATGCATATTTTTAAAGCTGGCACGTGCTTTGTGACAAATTACTTTCTTTTACCTGATCTTCGCAGCAGTACTAGGAAAAGATGACATTGTTAACTTGTGGGTAAATAAGTCTTAGTATCTGGGAAACTTTGATTAATTAATTAAATTTTACTTTCTGTATTGTAAAAGAAAGTGTGACATAACAGTCTGTAATGGTTGTGAAAAGTGTACCTAAAAGGGCTGAGCACATTGGCTCAGGCCTGCATTTTGGGAGGCCAAGGTGGGCGGATCACTTGAGGCCAGGAGTTCAAGACCAGCCTGGCCAGCATAGCAAAACCCCATCTTTACTAAAACTACAAAAATTAGCCGGATGTGGTGGCACACGACTGTAGTCCCAGCTACTCAGGGAGCTGAGGTGGGAGGATCACTGGAGCCTGGGAGGCAAGAGTTGCAGTGAGTCGAGATCATGCCACTGCACTCCTGCCCAGGCAACAGAGTGTGACGTTGTCTNAAAAAAAAAAAAAAAAAAAAAAAAAAAAAAAAAAAAAGAAAAGAAAAAGATACCTAAAAATAACTCAGAATTATTAAAGGTTGTTAAAGTGAATCTTTAGACAAGTAGAACACAAGAACAATTAGAATTGGAGCTCCAGAATGAGAGATGTGGCGATTGACCTGAACCTTGCCACACAGGGTAGAGGTACACCCTTGAGGGTACGTATAATCCTGTTGGAAGAAACAGCTCAGAGGGGGAAAGCATGGACTGAATATGGGAAGTAGCCAGCAGTCTGGTGGGCTGTAGACATACTTCAGGTAACGAAAGGATAGGGCAGAGCCCTCCCCATCATCTGCATCAGCCTCCCCTCAAAAACCTCCCAGAACAAGTGGTACGGTATAAAGTACAGATAACAAGAGTACCAACTATGCAAAATGCAGCTATCAAACAAATTCCTCAGACCGCCCTGCCTCCCAGCCACATTGCCACCTCTAACAACATTCCACCATGTTTGTATCCCCTGTTTTCATATGAAGAGTCACCAGGGTGAAGGGCATCCTATTCGAACAACTATTTTCAGGCTTTCTTTACTGGTAGGCATGTGGTACAGGTCAAATCCTTCCTAGTGTCCCATTTGAGAAAACATCTTGTTTGCCTTAAGGGAAGATATGAAGATACTTAATACAGATATGAGTTTTGGGTATATGTACACAGTTAATATTGCATTTAATTCAAACAAAGTTCATAGTGCCTCATCTCAGTGCCTGCTGTATATATTAGGTGCTTAGTAAGATTTTTTGGCTTTTCCTGCTCCTAATATTCAGTTTATTGTTAGTTTTGAAAAACTTTTTTGCTTATTTTGTTTGTTTGTTTGTTTCCTTTTAAAGGAGAGGTTTAAAGAAGCTGAAGAAACATACCAGGCAGGAATAAAGAACTGTCCAGACAGCTCAGATTTACACAACAACTATGGGGTTTTCTTAGTTGATACCGGTAAGTGCAATTAAAAAGAAACTGTTCTGCTGAGATTAGCTAATACTATTTATCAAGCAAAATGGAAGGCAAATAATCCTCAGAAGTAAAATTCACTGGGCTTGGCAGGAAACTCACACTATTGACAGTCATTGTACCTTGGGGCTGTCATTTCTCTAAATCTTCAAGCTCAATTCACTACAGTCTGCCCATTCTTATACTCATTTCTCTAGGGAAAGCTCCTCAGGTGACAGGAAGTAGCCTTATGATTTAATGAGTCCTGGTCTTCTTCAAATATTATGTATATAAATTTATAAATCCATGATAATAAAACGTTTCTCTACAATGATGCAGAATCTGCCTCTGAATCTAGTCCCTGCAGATAGTAAATACTTTTCTATAACATATTTTTTAAAAGCTTCCAGAATTGTTCTATCATTCCTTCCTTGATATACATTTTAGAAACTGCATTATTAAAATAGATATGATGCTCTTATATAACAGGTGCTATGTAAAATACACTTACTTTATCTTATTTAATGGAAAACATTACTGGGCATGAATTCTCTTTTCATTATGACTTATGCAGGGCCCCTGTACTGTTGGCATGCAATGAATACATATAAGTAATGAAATTATGTTTGAATGTAAGGCCAAAGCACCACTTTGTTCTTCTTGACCACTAGACTAGCTGCTCTGCAATAAAATTTAATTTTAATTAGTTTTTCAATATGAAATGCTTAAAGGGGTTTTATTTTCAAAGGTATTTGGAACTCTCTTGTTTTACAGAATATAAATTTACATCCTGATACGTCTAAGAAACTTACCTTATTTTTGCATGTGTAAAATTGCTGTGTAGTGCCACCTGCTGGTATATTGGCCACATAATACTAAATTGTCTTGATACAAAAACCAGGAGAAATCTCTAGTTGGGCTGGTCTAACCCTCTTCCTTTCACTTCAGCCACAGTCCCACCCCAAAAGTGATAACTCCCTGACCACTCTATGGCATTGAGTCTCTGCTACAGAGACAGAGACTCCTAGGGACCTCCTTCTCAAGCTTGTGTTCAAACAGATGCACTTGAAAAGGTTTCTGTGTAGATAATAAACATTCCATTGTTTTTGAAACTTTGTAGTGTTCTAAAGTTTAGCCACTGAATATAGTTTCACCAGGAAGTTACTCTGAAGAAACTTACCAACTAGAGGGTTTTCCTTCTGGTTCTGGCCTGACTCTCACTTGCCCTGGGATCTTTATCAAATCTCTGAATATCATCTTTGCACTTTAGTGTCTGTATCTGGAAAGTGGAAATTTTTTGTGTGTGGTTTTAAAAATATCTCTTAAATCCTGATAAACAGCTAAACTGTGTCAGAAGGCAGCTAAATTGTATAAAAATACCTGCGAAAATCATACAAATAAAAGTATTTAAAAATATACAATGCATTGCACAAGTGCATGGTGGCATTATTATGTTGGAAGTCCCATTAGATAAATACCTTTAAAATGAAAATGCATGATTTTAAAAGAGATTTTCACTCTAAAGCTGATATGTATTATTTAAAGCAATGCTTCAGTTGCTATGTTAGGGTATAGTTCATTAAGACAGACCCTTAGAATTTGCTTCTGGACAGTTTTATTTCTATGGTAGCCTGTTCTATTTTTTTGTATAATGAGAGCCAGTTATATCTTAGATAAATAACAATCACTAATAATCTGAAGACATCCTATAGCAAGATCAATGACCAGAAAAAACTTGGACTAAAAAAATAATATATATAATACAAAGAATAGATTTTAGTTTTTACTGCCTTTCTGTTAATTTTTTTGGAAGTATGAATGAACAGTGAAATTGTTAAAGTTAGGCAATGGCCAGGATGAGAAGCTGAAATGCAAGCTAATTTACATATTGAATAATTTTGGTATGACTCTATAATAATGAGAAAGAATTATAAGTCAGAAGAGAAACTGAAAAGTTATTTTTATAATAAGACATGTTCTGCTCTTACCGACCTATCATGGGTTACAGGCTTTCCAGAAAAGGCAGTGGCCCATTACCAACAGGCTATCAAACTCAGCCCCAGTCATCACGTGGCCATGGTGAACTTGGGAAGACTCTACAGGTCACTAGGAGAGAACAGCATGGCTGAAGAATGGTACAAGCGGTAAAGGTCCCTTTCTTTACTTTATAAATTGGACGGAAACCTCATTGCCCATCAGTGTCTTAGTTAATTGGAATAGGTGTGCTCTTAAAATGCTAGCAAATTTTACCAATTCAGGTGATACAAATTGTTATGTCCAAAGAAAGCAACCACAACAATATAAATGGGATCGTGATTCATGACTTTGACTGCTGGTTAGATTATAATGCTAAACCAAGGCTGAAATTTAATTCCCACTTTAGTCGGTTTGTTGTTTTCTGAAACCATGGATTGCAACCCCAATCATAAATAGCAATTTCAAAAATGGGAATAATGAAATACTATACACACATGAGGACAAATCCAACATAATTAATGGGAAAGACCCTTGGGGCTCAGTTTCCATATTGATAGGTCAATAAAACATTCTTACGTTCCAAGTATGGCATCATGATCATTTTGTAAGAACCTTGTTTTTGGCCAGGTGTGGTGGCTCATGCCTGTAATCCTAGCACTTTGGGAGGCCAAGGCAGGGGAATCACCTGAGGTTAGGAGTTCGAGACCAACCTGCCCAATGTGGTGAAACCTCATCTCTACTAAAAATACAAAAATTATCCAGGCATGATGGTGGGCACCTGTAATCCCTGCTACATGGGAGGCTGAACCAGGAGAATCACTTGAACCTGGGAGGCAGAGGTTGCAGTGAGCCAAGATTGTGCCACTGCACTCCAGCCTGGGCGACAGAGCAAGACTCCATCTCAAAAAAAAGAAAAAATACCAAAAAAACCCAAAAACCTTGTTATTGATATAAAAACAAAGGCCATATTGGAGCAGAAGTTCAAACCATGGACAGACATCCCTAAATCTAAGCCTAGACATTAGGAAATGTACCTATTAGAAGAGAAATGTCAATTAGCTTTTCTCCAAACTCAGCGCCCTGCAGGTGGCACACAAAGCTGAGATATTGTCACCTTTGGGAGCGCTGTATTACAACACCGGCCGATATGAAGAGGCTTTGCAGATTTACCAGGAAGCAGCAGCACTTCAGCCTTCTCAAAGGGAGCTCCGCTTGGCACTGGTGAGTAGGATGAAAGAAAATGAAGCCTGCAGCTTAAGCACAGCCGGCCATAGAGAGAGCCATAGTCCTCAAGCCTCGAAACTGGAGCTGGAATACTGTAATACATCCACTGTATGAATATTCATGCAGCCAATGTTAAAGCCATTCTCCAGAGACATGGACACCAAAAATACTGCGTTTTCGTTCTGAAATAACTTCAAACTTATGAAAATGTTGCAAGAATAGTAAAAACTCCCGTATGCCCTTTTATCCGGATCCAATGATTTGTAACATTTTGATGTGTTTATCACTCCCTTGTGTATGCATGTAAATGTGTATGTATATACATGTATAAATGTGCATATTTAGATACGTATGTTTGTATATACCTATTATTAGTATGTGTTATTTTTTTCCTGAACCATGTGGGAATTCGTTATAGATATCATTCCCCTTAATCTCTAAATACATTTGCAAATAGTTTCTAAGAAGGACATTCTCTAACATATAGCTATTAAACTCAGGAAAATTAACATGCATACCAACAAAATTTTTATTTCAACATTTGGAACTTCGCTCATTCTTTTCCTTAGATATGCAATAAATCAAATTTGTTATCTTGCTGTAAACACATTGTTCTGATGAAATCAGAGGAAATTCTTTCTCTTCTGACATATTTAGTCAACCTTTTTTAAAAACCACAAGCCATTTCATTGGATATCTTTGGTGTTTCTGCCATTCACACACAAATGCATGCACAAAACTAAATAAAGAAACAAACAGCAAAAAGTCAAAGCCTGAAAACTGGTGATTCAGCCTTCTCTATGAGTCACTAAATTGATGCTGAGCATGTTTGTCAGGAGTGCCTTCTGAATCCTTCTATTTGGGATGCTTTATTTGATAAGGTAATGAACCTCTGCTAACCAAGGTCTGTGTGGTTTTGTAGGCTCAGGTTTTGGCTGTGATGGGTCAGACAAAAGAAGCTGAAAAGATGACCAATCAGATTGTGTCAGAGGAGACCGGGTGCCTTGAATGCTATCGCCTCTTGTCAGCAATCTATAGCAAGCAGGAGAACCATGACAAGGTAAATAAGGACACTGTTTAGAGTTCTTTGGATTCATAGGTTAAACATGGGGTGCACCTAAGTGATTCTCCAGTTTGCACGTTTATGCACCTGAGAAGTCTTAAATCTTATCAGTCAACATATCCTATCTGATATGGAAAACTTTTCACAGATATCCCCTTAACACCTAAGTTGTCCCCTTGAAATAATATTTTCTTGGCTTATCCTTGCTGTAAAGCTTTTATGTGATATTGTCTCAGTTTGTTTGCAGCTAAGTCTAAAAAGATCAAGACTAACATTTATATGCTTTATTATTTTGCATTTTTCTTCTTACATATTGTTTTATGTAATTCTCATAACAACCATGCTTTATAGGGTTGTTAGGAGGATTACATAATATATAAGAGGATTACATAAAACAATATATATGAAGGAAACGCAGGTGACCCGGTATTGCAACTGTTATTGTCTATCTCCATTTTAAAAGTTACAAAATCAATAAATTTATAAACTGACTCAGTGAAATAATTGTGGAAGGTGCACTTTGTTCTGGCCAGTGTGGTTGGCATCAGAAATAAAGTGGTAGGCAGAAAAAAATCAGAAAGTCACTGCCCTTGTCTTCGTGGAGCAAACCCATAAAGAACAAGATTCAAGAAATACAAAACAAATGGAGAGCCATAGCTGTGACCAGGGATACCATGAAGAGCTACATGTCCCAAAGAACATATAATCAGGGGACCCAATAAGTCTAGGAGGCCAGATTTCCCCGTGAAGTGATGCGGAGGTGAGGGCTGGATGAAGAATAAGAGTTATCAGGCAGAGGAAGAAGCAAGGAGGATTCGGGGAAGGGAAACGGCACATGCAAAGCCCTGTGGCAGCAGCAGGGGAGTGGGTGAGAGGCAGCGGGAGTACTGTAGAAACACAAGCACAGGCTGCTGGGAGGAGACTCCTTGAGGGCCAGGCCAAGGATATTGTTCCTTACTCTGGGAGAAGCTTTGGGTTTTTGTGGAGAGGGGCAACATGATCAGATGTTTGCTTTGAAGGGATCTTAGGCTGCAGGGGCAGTGGGTGCTGGGGGCAGAGTGGGAACTAGGACCTGTGAGGGCCTTCTGGAGTGGTCTAGATGGACACATGATCAGGGCAAATGTCTGAGGCCAAATCTTGTTTTCTTTCAACTTCCTATGAAGTAATCAAGGATATTTTATTGCCACTCATCTTTACATGACAAAACGGGAGTATAAGAAAGTTATTTTATCAGGGCCACTAATTCCCAGTGAGAAACTCAAAGGTGATGAAGAATAAATCTATATTTGATACAAGGTCTTCCTTTGTTGCCCAGGCTGGAGTACATTGGCATGATCTTAGCTCACTGTAAGGTCTACCTCCCAGGGCTCAAGACATCCTCCCACTCAGCCTCCCCAGTAGCTGGGACTACAGGCGTGCACCACCTCACCCAGCTAATTTTTGTAATTTTTTGTAGAGACAGGGTTTCTCTATGTTCCCTAGACTGATCTTGAGCTACTGGGCTCAAGCAATCTGACTGCTTCAGCCTCCCAAAGTACTAGGATTATAGGTATTAGCCACCACACCTGACCAAGAATGTATTTTCATTTTCACACAACATACCTGCTGACACATAGGAACAAAAGGTATAAATTTCATCAGTTAAATAAGTTTTTCTTTACCTATTCTGCATTTATTCTGTCTTAATCTCCAACCTCTGCAGGCACTTGATGCTATAGACAAGGCTCTCCAGCTGAAACCAAAGGACCCAAAAGTCATTTCTGAACTTTTTTTCACAAAAGGAAACCAACTAAGAGAGCAGAACCTTCTTGACAAAGCTTTTGAGGTATAAACTCTTCACAAAATTGTATCATCAAATTCACAGATTAATACTCTCTATCTTTAAGGAAACATGTACAGTAAGATAGATCTAAGATCACTGGCATGTTTGTGGAGTGAGTGAGTTTTTTGACTAATTGACTTAAAGTTTTGTTTATTTTTTATCATTGAGCATCTGGCCCTTGACTATTCAGGGCTGGATTTATTTTTCTGAATAACCACCTTTAACTTGATGGTGACAGTGTTCCACATTTTGGCCTCAAACTAGCTTCTCCCTGTCTAGCTCTCTGCCTGCAAGAACCTTCTATTCCAACTGTACTAGTACCTGAAAAGCCTTGGACATTTCCACATGTCCTTGACATGCCCTGTCTTGACTTGGAGGATGAGATTTCCACTCATGCACCAAGACGCAGTCTGTCCTCCTGCCTTAGGAAGCCCTCCCTGACCATCCTTACTCCTGGTGACCTTACTTCTTCTGAATTCTTAAAAAGCGGACTGTCTCATGAAGGTACCAGTCATTTGAAAGTGTCACGAATTACATTGTATTATTAGGTCCCTCTCCCCAACCCCCGTGTGTGTGTGTGTGTGTGTGTGTGTGTGTGTGTGTGTGTGTGTGTGTGTATGTGTCTCTGTGTGTGCAGGAATGCACAAATCCTTGCATATTTTATCTCCCCAGTTAGATTGGACTTTCCTTGTAGAGAGGGACTGCATACTCCTTTGTTCTAAAACAGTGTTTTGCCTGTTATAAGGTGTTCAGTATCTACAGCTTTGGAATAAAACTTGTTCACAGGTTGAAATCAAGAAGACATTTACAAGTAAAAACAGAAATGTCACAATGTTACATACTTTATCCTTATATCTGGTAAAGCCACAAATTAATAAAGTCATAAAATTGCACTAAATATAGGAAAAGTGAAATATCCAATGATATAATTGTGTGGGAAATAAGTGAGTGGTTTTCAAAATATTATTGGAAAACACATAGAAAGATATTTGGGAAAGCTGATTTGAATGTGAATCCTTTAAAGAAAAACAGAAATTATGCCATTTTTCTCTAAAAAGTTCTAAGCATTTTTCTCAGAATTTGTAGGGTTTGCTCTGCCTTTTGAACATTTTCAATATCTTCATCTTATTTATACCTAATGTGAACATTATTAATAACATAATTGTCAATATTTATAGTATGTATATATCATGATATACTGTGTTGCAAACAAAAGTATTTACTAGTTGCTTGACAGTGGCTCAAATAATCATTATAAAGTGACTAAATTTATGAAGATAGGAATAGGGCCATTGATAGATAGTAATAGCTAAAATGCATTAGCACTTTGTGTATGATTCATATATATTATGTAACTTAATCTTCACAAGAATCCTATAAGAAAGGCATGGTCATTATCATCATTGTACAGTTTTGTAAACTTAGAGATCGTATCTTGCTCAAGGTCACAAAAGTGGGTAAGAGATGGCATCAGTTTTGAATCCAAGAGCTGGATTCCTACACTACATTCTCATCTCTGCTGAAATAAATTCATCCAAGAGACACACCCTCTCAGTTTATTTTAGCAGCTTTTTGAAAGTATAGTTTCTTAACATTTCTTTCTTTCCCCTAAAACTGAATTAGAGGAGAATGGACCAGATTTTACTTGATGGATTTGTTTGGTCATATTCTTACTAATGAAAATAGCAAGCAACATTAAAATATATGCAGATACTTAGCTTCGTCATTAAAGACAATACCCTTAATCTGCAGGTTTATTTCAGGTGACCATTTGAGACTCAGTGGTGAGCATATCTTTGATGCAAAACATGCATGCTATTAAAATATACCACACATCACAGATACTGCATTTAATAGGATATGTGTTATTCAGACCAAAGAAAGTACTTGAGGGATAGGTAACTCTGTTTAAACATTTGAAGAGTTTTCATATGTCAGGGGAATAAAAGACTGTCTAATGAATAAAACTATCCCCTAGTAATGTAGATGTTCTTAAAGAAGTGGTGATCCATTTTAAGAATTGCAGCATAGGCTAAACAACTAGGTCAGTTATATTTTAAAAGAGGATACTACATTAGGGTTAAACTGTTTAGAAGACCACCCCCAAATTCTGTGATGATAAAAAGAATTTTCTTACTAACTCCATTTGCAGTGAAAAAGCCCAAAAAGTTCAGTTTTCTTACAGGTCAAGGCCAACTGAAAATGACGTGATATAAGAGAAATCACCTGACTTCTGTGCAGGCATCCTCAGTCTCTCTAAGTCCAAAGGTTAGCTCTGCAGGAAAATTACACATTTCAGTTTCCTCCACTTTAGAATCATCAACTTTGAAAAATAATAGAAATAAACAGGGTCTCCTGTGAACTAGTAGCAGCTGGTTTTATTGTATTAATACTTTATATTTTCACATGTGAAGAAAGTATTTTCCGCAATCCTGCAGCGTTAAAGATGGGTCTTTGTTTCCTGACCTGAAGATATTTCTTATTTATTTAGAGCTATAAAGCGGCTGTGCGACTAAATCCAGACCAAGCACAGGCCTGGATGAACATGGGTGGCATCCAGCACATCAAGGTAGGAGAAAGATTTACTTCCACATGGACTGAGCCTTCCCTCTGTGTTTTCTCTTTCCTAAAGGATTGAGAAACTATTATTAATTTCCTTTTTGAAATCATTTGAATATCAGAAGCATGGGTTTTTAAAAGTGAAATAGCTTAGTTTATGTTCACTTTGCATTACCTAGATAACTGAATATCAGGAAGCTATTTTTAAAATAAATCTACATAAAATAGATTTTATGATTTTCCTAACCATGAAGAAAATCATGCATACTTAACAGAAGTATCAGATAGCAGATAAGATCTGTTTATGGGAACTAAATCCCTGTTCGAGGTCAGTATGGCTTATTTTCTTCCCAGTTTAACTCACTGTCAAAAAAGTGTTACTTAGAATATTACTTCCTATTTCTTATATCTAATATATCTTTTCTCCCTAACTTTTTACTGAAAAGCAAGCTTATTTGTTTTGTTTTGTTTTTCCAAAAGAAAAGCACTACTTTTGGGTGAGTCTTACCAAGGATGAAAATGACCTTTGGGGGACTTTTATCTGTAACTAATGCAATTAATCATTCGCCATCATTCATTTATTCATTCATCCATTCATTTTATAAGCATTTATGGCTAACATCCTATATGCCAGGTCCCCTTCTTGGCACTGGGAATCAGTAATGAACCAAGAAGACAAAAATTCCTGTCCTCATGGTACTAGTAGGGGGAGTTAGGTGATACATTACTACAAACATACACATGAACACTTAATGCATACATATGTGCATAGTATGTATATAAAATATATTAGATAGTGATAAGTGCTAAGGAGAAAAAAGAGAAAGAAGATTGGAGTGCCAGGGAATAAGGGCTAATATTTTAAGTTCAGGTGGTTAGGAAAGGCCTCAATTACAAAGTAGTATTTGAGCAGAGACCTGAAGGAGTGGGCCATGTGGCAACATAGGGAAAGGGCACCAGCATGTGCAAAGGCCCTAAGGTTTGAGCATGCCTGTTGTTTAAAGAACAGTGAGGAGGCAGCATGGTGGGGGGAGAGCAAATAAAAGGAAATGGGAGAAGCTAGGGTCAGATCATGCAGGCCTTCAAGGAGTTTGTAGGGATTTGGGCTTTTATGCCAAATGAGTCAGGGTTTTTGGAGGACTGTGAGCAGAGAAATGCCATGATCCAACATGTTTTTAAAGAACCACTCTTGTTTAGCTAACTGATTTTCAGTCTCTGCACTGGTAAAATAGCAGTGTAATGATTAGAATTTGAATAAAGTCCTAATGGGTTTTACTGTTTAGTGGAAACTGATCACTCTTGGAAACACACACAAAACAGATGACCCATGATTGCACAAATGGGAGAGGTTAATGGGATAATTATCCTGCAGCTGACAGTTTTGATCTGGTAGATGGTGAATTCAAGCATGATATTTATCAGAGCCAAATTGCCCAAGCTCTGATCTTAGTGATACTCTAGGGTGGCCAGTAATATCTAGTTGGGAAACAGAATGATCTTACTTTAAAGAGTAAAATGATAATTTTAAATATTTTTAATCATATATTAAATAGTTACATTTTCAAATACAGTCATGTGCCACATGACATCATTTTGGTCCAAAATGGATTATATATACAATGAAGGTCCCATAAGATTAAAATACTATGTTTTTACTACATCCTTTTTGTGTTTTGATATGTCTAGATACAAATACCACAGTGTTACCGTTGCCTACGGTATTCAGTACAATGTGATTTACAGGTTTATACATTTTCTCATCTCTCTTTCTCCCACCCCTTTTACCCCCATTCCCCTAATATGAATCTTGTGCAGTGGTTCCATTTAATTACAAAGGAACAGTACTAACCCCATGAGGACACTAAGAAATGGTAACCCCACATCCTGCATTAGTTGAATTGAAAATTTGTATTTCTGCCATTTATCCTTACAGTATAACACTCCTCTTTCACATTCTCTAACGGATCTGGTACTTAAAACAAATGGAGTCTCCAAAAACACCAACGGACAAGGATAAACTTACACATACAGACAGGGTTTCCGTATGAGAACATTAATGTAAAACTGGGCAGAGGGTCAGTTTCATGCTCTGCGAGAGTTTTGTGATGGATCAGAATGTAATTGCTCTCCCTTTTCCCCGACAGGGAAACTATGTGTCTGCAAGAGCGTATTATGAGAGAGCCTTACAGCTGGTTCCAGACAGTAAACTGCTGAAGGAAAATCTTGCCAAATTGGATCGCCTAGAAAAACGATTACAAGAAGTTCAAGAAAAGGATCAAAAGTAGCACCGTTTGACCCAGCCTCACAGGATAATGTGGTGCCTCTGAAAGGGGAAAGAGTGATGGAAGCCTTGCTTTCACATCAGTAGGGGGACAACTAATGAGATTTTATCTCATTCCGAGTTCAGGTGGCACATTTTGGGACATCTGCTGGTAGGTCAGTGCTGAAGGACTTGCTTTTCCATGAAGGAAGACAAAAACAGCAAACAAGGGCACGAAGATCTGAGAAGGAAGAACGACAATTACACATTTTACAGATTTTTGTTTGGTTTAACTCCAGAGTTCTCTTGATAGGTCTCTGTGCTTTAGAGACATGGAGATCTAATTCTGTTTCCTAGTTTAGACATTTATGTCCCAGAAATACAGAAGCTTGAAATGCTATGAAGGCGGAGCTTCTATTCTTTGGGGGGTGAAATATTTCAAAAGAGGATAAATCCTCTGGGGTAAGCCATTTGGAAAATCCTACCAAGAATTGGCTTATTTAATTTTCCAGAACTAGATGTGAGTATCTAATAGCTTTTGTAGAAACCTCCAGAATATTTGGGGTAAAGGGCTATTGCTAAGTGAATTTTATCTAATATCCCCCTAAGAGTATTACTAGTGCTTTTTTGAGGAATAAAAAGGAAGCTCCTGGAATCGTATGTGGATACCTTTATCCCTACGGGAAACTCAAGGAGCTTGACACTCCTAATTCTCTATGGAAATGTTTAAAACTATTTTACTTTTATTACAAGTATTACTAGAGTAGTGGTTCTACTCTAAGATTTCAAAAGTGCATTTAAAAATCATACATGTTCCCGCCTGCAAATATATTGTTATTTTGGTGAAGAAAAAAAAATAGTATATTCTACATAAAAAAATTAAAGATATTAACTGAGAGAAATGTCCTACTTTATTATCTTAATATTCAGGCATCATGAGATTTACTATTTTTTTGGAAAATATATTTAACCATTGAGGAACCTTTATGATGTATCACAGAAATCTTCATAGACTCTAACTAGATTTCAAAAAAAAAAAAGCTCTATTTATTTCTGTTCCTAGGCTTAATGAGAATTCTAGGCTTAGAACATCAGTGATTAAAACCTAGAATTCTTTGTTCTGAGAATATTATGGAGAATGCTCTAAAAACTAAGGTAAAGATCAAATTCATAGTTTTAACTATATATATTTATATTTAAGAGATAGAAAAGGCAAAGTTGAACTCACAATTTGACATTTATTTTTAGTGTTATTTATTTCATAACTTAAAAAATGTTTAATATATATATACACACACTTCTTTTTTCTCTATACAAAGTGTTTTTAATATCGGCTATCAGAACTGATCTTACAAAATGTAAATCTAAATTGTAAAATAGTTAAATTTTAACAGTCTCTCCCAAAATTTATGTTGATTATTCACTTGCTAAAGAGATGTGAGGAGTCAGCCTTCAGTGTTTTGGCAGTCGTATACTTTGGAAGTGAAGAAATTGGAACACCTGATTCTAATTTGGTCTTCATCATTAAAAGCAAAACCAAAACACCCCAGGCAGTACTGTGTATAGTGCTGAGCCAGGTAGCACACAGACATAGTAGCCCAAAGGCTCAAATAATTCACGTGCTCAGGCCAGGGCAGGGTAAAAATAGCCTTCTGTTTCTTCAACCCAGTATCAGGATGCACTACCCTAATGCTATTATTTGTTTTGTCAAGGTAAGTCTAAATAAACAAGAAAAATTTTTCCAGAAGGCATGGCAAGGGGAATATTTTAAATGCAAATAGTTACAGAATTTGAATTAGCATGCATCTGTTGGTGTGCATCAGTAATCCAATTATGTATATATTACCACTATGACCGTTTGTTTCTAATAGTCTTTCCATGGTATGTATCATAAATGTATCCACAATCTTAATTAAGATATATTCTTCCTCCCAAAATCATAGTCCTAGGGTCAAGAAACGTGCTGCAGTATTTATTGTAAAATAACCCCACCCTCAAACTGAAAAAAGCATTAAGCCCTAGTTATTAACAATGTCTAGGACTTTATTATAACCTTTCAGAATAATCTGTAATGAAAACTAATGCTTAAAAATTTAATGGAAACGACTGAGCCCCAAAGGTGCTTTCCTATCTCCCCCAATTTTGAACAGCTATTATGCCTTACTTGAAGTGCTGATAAAGGTAGGAGAGTACATGGTTGGAATAACAGAAATGGTGATTTTAGCCTAAAAGTTTCTGAGGGTAAAGAGTCACATGACCTTCAGGAAACTTTCTCTGCCTCCTGGAAGGTGCTTTTCGATCTCCCCCTATCCTTCCCTACTCCTTGTCTGTTTTCTTGCTCTCTTTTTCTCTCACTGTCACTCTGTCTACAAACACTGGCATCTTTCTAACATTCAAAGTAAGCACTGTTTTTCAAAAAAGTAATTATTTGTTGGATCAGATACTCTTATCCCAATACCTTCACTGAGATATGGCCAATGAGATAATTTCACAGTTAAAACAGTGCCTATAAGAAAATTAATCACAGGCCGGGCGCGGTGGCTCAAGCCTGTAATCCCAGCACTTTGGGAGGCCGAGGCGGGCGGATCACGAGGTCAAGAGATCAAGACTATCCTGGTCAACACGGTGAAACCCCGTCTCTACTAAAAATACAAAAAATTAGCTGGGCATGGTGGCGCGTGCCTGTAATCCCAGCTACTCAGGAGGCTGAGGCAGGAGAATTGCCTGAACCCAGGAGGCGGAGGTTGCGGTGAGCCGAGATCGTGCCATTGCACTCCAGCCTGGGTAACAAGAGCGAAACTCCGTCCCAAAGAAAAAAAAAAAAAAAAGAAAATTAATCACATACTATTTTTCAAAGATATTAAGTGTATGTTGTAACTTTTTATTTGGTCTTTGTAACATGAAATAATAAGTGGAACTTATCCTTATAATAAAAATGGAGTGCCCTGGCTCATCACAGAGGTGCATCTAGTTTGCCCTTAATGAAAGTATGCTTGCTGTATGGATTGATAGCACCTTCTTGAAATGGAGCACAGCTGGCTTCATGGATGTGCAATTTTGGCAGTCCCATAGGGCCCTGCACTCAGAAGCACCTGATCTTAGTTGAATGTCTGTTTAATTTTTACTTGTTTTTTTGAGACACAGTCTCACCTTGTCTCACTTTGTCACCAGGATGGAGTGCAGTGGCGCGAACATGACTCACTGTAGTCTTGACCTCCCTTGTTGAAGGCATCCTCCCACCTCAGCCTCCCAAGTAGCTGAGACTACAGGCATGTGCCAGCATGTCTAGCTAATTTTTGTATTTTTTGTAGAGACAGAGTTTCACCATGTTGACCAGGCCGGTCTCCAACTCCTGGGCTCAAACGATGTGCCCACCTTGGCGTCCCAAAGTGCTGGGATTAAAGGCATACACCACAATGTCTGGCTGAAATCTTAATAAGTCTTAATAATTTTTGAGCAAGGGGCCCACACTTTGATTTTTCTCTGGGTTCCCACAGGTCCTGGGTAGGAAGGAAAGTGGCTAAGGACAAAACAGGAGTTGTTTGGCCTGGCTGAACATTGGAACCAATGATCAGAGTTCCGTTTTATGGTTGTGTTACTCTGAGCAGATTTGCTATATTTTTGCCAGCTACATTTAGAGTTCCTCATGTAAATATCATCCCTTTTTTACCAGTCCATCTAACCTCTCCTGTGTTTGTACCTAGAATCAGTTCTTCTTGCCTTCAAAATCCCTGATAAGTGTCCATTTCTTTATGTATCCTTTGATATAGAAGCCACAAGAATGGTTTTAGCAGCTCATTTTACTTTATGAATTATTCATTCAGGATTTTTTTAAATGATTCAGATGCTTTCAATCTATAAACTGTATTTATAAAACATATTTCCGTGATATAACATAGGTGAACTAAACCAAAGATGCAAATACCTGGGAGGAAAAGAAATTTTAGAGAACCCTGAGATATATCCTTTTAGGGTTGTTTAATTTGAAGCCTATCACAAAACAAAGAGAATTGTTGCACTTTAATTCCAGCCTCCTATGTACTTCATAGCCCTTAGCATAAGATTCTGAAATTTGTCATAGGTGGACCCAGTTTGATGCAGGATTCTGCAGTGGTTTTGCATATGCCTCTGTGCAGTCAGACTAAATGAGATAATTCCAAACGTCCTATCAAAACTGACCCACGACAACTGTCATTTGAGGGGAAACAAAGCAAATGTAGGTTTCCCCTTGTCATTGTTAAACATTCCAGGTCCTCAGATTGAAGAGATACATTAGCTGATAGTTGACATCTGTTCCCTTACACATACTGGCTATCAACACAGGCTGTACTTGGAATCACCTGAGGACCTTTCAGAATCTTTGGCTGAATTATCCTAGCTGTCCATGTGATGATTCTAATGTGCAGCTAGGCTGGAGAACCACTACAAGGCTGACAACTGTAATGGGAGTTTGTAACTTTTACAAAATAGAGGTTTATAATCTTTTACAATTTTTACTTTTAAATTTATACTAAAATGAGCCAAAGAATTCTTAAGAATGATTTATGACATTATCGGTTGGTTGAGGCTATCATTCCATGATTGACAAATAGGTGGTTATGTGGGGTGGTTTTGTGCTTGTGGCAACTGGACTAAAATTTGGCCTTAAAATTGCATAATTCCTGGTTCTCAGATGGAGAGCAATTGCCTTGAAATTTGCATGTACCAGACTAAGTGCCCAATATATATGACTGATATTGTGATGACTCATGGAGGTGCCCATGGCATAGAGTTTATGCCTACATCTCTGTCTTCATTTTGGGCACACGTGAGCTTTTGTTAATTATTTCTTACTAGTACTTGTTAGAATCTGTTTTAAAAAAAAAACGCTTTGATTTGTGGTGGATTCACCTTCTTAAAATAATAAATCTAGAGGATTTTAGTAACAACATTCAAAACAAATATAGTTATAGGTGATTTGTCTGTTTTTGATTTTTTTCCTGGTTTCCAAATTACATTTACTTTGATGTGGTTAACTTATCTATCTAAATGATATGTTTTGACATTTAAAAAGAATAAGTACATGTCAAATCTTTCATTTAGGCTGCAGTTGAATAAGATAAAAGCTTAGGGTGCCAAAAATAATATAGAGAAATATTAGAACATTTTATGATTATTCTTGAAGTTTTTGATACAAATGGAAAATATGTTGAATAGTTCTTCCAAAAAATAATATTTCCCTCAATATTTTATTTATAGCATGTAACTTAAAGAGAACAGAAAATAACTGCAACCAAAAACATGGTTCAATATCAATCTAAGTGGCCCAACAGAGTTGATAAGCTCTTTACAGCAATCAATTGGCTATTAAAATATTTTATTTTTCTCACCGAGGATCTTTTCCATTAAAATCTTTAGGGCCTGTAACTCATAAAATCGGCATCCACCACAATATATGGTGATAATTGATTTGTAAGCATAGATAACCATTGACTCCCACCTGGAAAGACATGTCTATTTCCAAACATCCAGGAGTTTCTTCTCATTCTCAGTAGTACACATTGTATATATATATATATATATATATATATGTGTGTATCACATTTGGTAGTTTTCAATGTGTGTGATGTTCTTTGGGGGTTATCTTGTTGATCCAGGAAAGGGGTACACTAGCCCAAGAATGAAAACTTCTGAGTTCTAGTTCTAGCTCTGCCACTCAAGAGCCACCTCACCTGGGCAAGGTAGCCAGTGTCTCAGTCATGTTTACCACCCATGAAAGGACTGGCCAGTTGGATGTATCCATTAAGCTCGATGAGTCACTCTAATGATTACTTTTGAATCTGGATTGAAAAAACACTATGCATCTGATGAGATAATTCATAAATGCTGCCCTTTTTTAAATGATACAACCCTAAAAGTGACAAAATTGCCCAAATGCTTGAACATGGTGGAGTTGTTACTCTTATTTTACGATCTACACACTTAAAAATTCCTACAGTGATTGATACTTTACTGGGGAAAAAAGATGAGGTGAAACTTCCTCCCAAGGAATTAAAATATCTGTAGAAGCCGTGGCTTGCTTTTACAATCTAGAAATCATTTGATTTGCTGTAATTCATAGAGATCCCTCCTTTTGTGAGGGGGAAATGACTTTCCTCATGTTCTTTGTTCATAATGCTTTTACTTCCTGTTTTGATCAGTTGTATGTAAATGTACATTTTTGTTACTTTGGCTGTGCCCGTTAGAATTTATTTCCCATAAAGTATTTCTCCCATTGAGTGTAATGATGTATACTTTGCCTAGGTCTTTGCAAAATTAAATTTATGTAAATGTCTATTTTCTATAAAATATGATGAAAATAAGTATGTCTGGTTTCAATCTCTCAAGTACTTCATGGTTAGTACCTACTGATGTGTATGTCACCAGGAATGTCTGTTTCAACAATTTTTTTAAAAGGACCATCTTCCTTCCTTCTTTCATTCATTTACTCATTTCATTGCATTGATCTGTGTGCTTCCTGTCTGCACTCTTTCCCTTCCACCACACAGTGCCAATTCAGTACTTGCCCACTCCAGATCCGCTCCCCCATCATGCTTAGATGCCTCCATCTCTCTTTTCACAGAGTAAATAAAATGTGGAAAGCAGATATCCCCCAATGCCCTGCACTTCATCTGTACATTTACCTGTACCTAATTCTATCCTTTCTTTTCTCCTGTTATCATAATGGAAGAAGAGAACCCTAGGTTCTGGATTTTGCTTCTTATGGAACTTCATTCCATTTCTTAACTTCTCCATCTTTTAACTTCTTCCTTTTGCTGGCTCTTGTCAATTTGGTAGTTCTCCTCTATCTTAAAGCAAATACACAGGTAATTAACATCAAAACAATTTGAAGAAAAAAAAAATCCTTCCTCTATTTCATTCTATCTGTAGCTGCTATCACAGCTCTCTCTGTCCTTCACAGCCAAGCTTTTTGAATAGCAGATCGCAGTTGTCCTCTACTAGTGAAGATGTCCAAATTAAAGACAGATTTTCTGTACATCACAAGTCACCACTTTCTGGGGGTAGTCCAACCCACTCCTCTCCTTGATATCCTTTCCTTTTCTGAAGTTATTTTAAGCATAAAAAGAGAATTCTTCCATTTGGATACTGTACTATAACTACAAATTCAATTTATATTTAAACCATTACTTTATTAGAAAATTTGAGTCTAAAAATAATGGCCTGGTTTTTTTTTATTTTTATTTTTTATTTTATTTTATTTTGTGACAGTCTTACTCTGTCACCCAGGCTGGAGTGCAGTGGCGTGATCTTGGCTCACTGCAACTTCTGCTTTCCGGGTTAAAGTTGATTCTCATGCCTCAGCCTCCTGAGTAGCTGGGATTACAGGCATGTGCCACCACACCCAGCTAATTTTTTTTTATTTCTAGTAGAGGTGGAGTTTCGCCATGTTGGCCAGGCTGGTCTAGAACTCTTGACCTCAGGTGATCCATCCACCTCGGTCTCCCAAAGTTCAGGAATTACAGGCGTGAGCCACTGTGCCTGGCCTATGACCTGCCTATTAATGGTTTGTAATTCTTATTCAATGGCTCTTTTCCCCCTTCTTTTAAGGGAATTATTCTGTGAGGGCTCTAAGGGACTAAACCTCTGTATATAAGAATAGGGTCTCAGTTGAAGCTGTGGGTTTTGAACTCTGGAAACAAAGGGAGTTGTTCTGTAACAGGAAATGAGACAGTGCCCCACCACATGAAGATTCCCAGATTTGAAACAAACCACAGAATATCCTGCAAAGCTGTGTGCCATTGGCAGAAGAGTGAAAGGGGACAGCAGCTGTGGGCCTCACGGAAGGGCTGGCCATCGTATGACCAGCAATTTGAGCATTGCTGGCCTGACTGTTCTTGCACAGCACATGTTCACCTTTTTGTTCTTTCCCTTTTATTTAGTAAAGGCTTTTTGGTGGCTTTCATCTTACCTCTTGCTAAAAAGAAAGAGGGCTTTGGACCCATCCGGGGGCTCTGAGCTTTTATTGGAAAACAGTGTGGTCCTGGAGCTGGTACGGTGGTTCAAATGGTCACCGCTGCGAGATGACTACAGGGAGGAGAGCGGTGAGGGCCTCTGGTCAGGCAGCCACCACACCTGGACATTCCCTGGACAGAACCTGGAGGTTCCATGTTTTATTTTCACGGAAGACCTGCTTACCTTAAGAGCACGCTGGACACCCCCTATCCCCTAGTCACCCATGCATGAAACCAAGGAGTCATCTACTCAAACTGTCATCCAAGATGTCATTCCTTGAAATCAATATTTAAAAGAAAATAGTGCTACTCTCAAGAATGGCACAGTCCAATACAACTATTGGTGGCGACAGAATGTCCTATATTTGTGCTGTTCAACATGGTAGCCACTAGCCACAGGTGGCTGCTGAGCACTTGAAATGTATCTAGTGTGACTGAATTTTTAACTTGATTTCCTGTTAATTTTAATTTATATAGCCACATATGATTAATGTCTGCCACATTGGTCAGTGTAGCTCTAGAGTTTTTTCATGTAGTGGAACTTGGGACGTAAGAATCACAGAAACCACCCTGGACAACATGGTGAAACTGCGCCTCAAATATGAAAAGTTAGCTGGCGTGGTGGCTGGTCCTGTAATCCCAGCTACTTGAGAGGCAAAGGTGGGAGGATCACTTGAGCCTGGGAGGTTGAGGCTGCAGTGAGCTGAGATTGCACCACTGCACTCCAGCCTGGGTGACAGAGTGAGACCTCATTTGAAAGCAAGCAAAAAAATCACAGAAGCCACTTTGGGTTCATGAGACAAGAAGGTTTGAGATGTGTGTTTCAAGTTTGAGTGCCAGTCATATTAAAAAAAAAAAAAAAAAAAAAAAAGTTGTTTTTTTTTTTTCTTTTCAGAGACAAGGTCTTGCTGTGTTGCCCAGGGCAGAGTGCAGTGGCTAGTGATGGGTGAGATCCCGCTACTGAACTGCAAGGGAGTTTTGACCTGCCCGGTTTCCAACCTGGGCCAGTTCACCTTTCCTTAGGCAACCTGGTGGTGCCCTGTTCCAGGGAGATCACCATATTAATACTGAACTTAGTGTGGAGAGACTCCAGATTGGCATAGTGCCCTACAATCAAGAGCTCCTGGGCTCAAGCCAGCCTCCTGCCTCAGCCTCCCCAGTAGCTGGGACTATAGGCCACATGCCACATCACTAGGCATCATTCACTTTTTTTAGGCTTTTCATCAAAAGGTGTCCATTCACCCTCTGCTCTCTCCTGCAGTCACAGAGGTCATTGTCTGTCCCCAGTAGATTGTCACCTGCTTTTACCTGTGCCTGCATTCTCTCCACCTTGACTGCCTTCTGTGTTCCCAACTACCTGTTCATCTCCCACCTGTCCCCCTTGGTATATTTATCCTCCTACCTCAAGAAGCTTTTATTTCTATTTTACATGAAAGTAGAATGTTGCACTTAAAAGTAAAATCCTCCAACTGGTGCTGGAGGACTGGTGTCCAGGTTATTTGATATATATATAGAATGCCCATTTAGCCTTGCCCTAATTTTCTGACAAAATATAAGATCATTACAAATTCTGGCTTTGTTTGTCTTCCAATTTCAGCCTAACTTGTTACAAAATAATATTCAAGGAAAAAAGGTGACATCTCACTAATAGATTAATTTCAATGATCTTAAATGATGGACCCTACAGCTTTCGACCCATTCTGCTGAAATGGATTACAATACTTGTCACCCGGAAAATGATGGCAGCTCAAGCGTGATCTTTGCTATTCACTCTTTGAAAACTCTTGAGGATCAAGAGCTTCAACAAGCTTCTTAGAAGGGGTAGTATTGTTCTAAGCTTAAGGAGCTTCCACCTTTCAGAAGTCCTGCCTGTGTTTTGCGTGGGGGACCAGTTTCATTGCCCTCGAGCCCGGGCGGCACTCCCCAACCTGGGACAGAAGTCGCAGGGCTAAGCGTTACAGGCCACTGATTGGCTTGCTCTTGATCTGCTGGCAGGAACCTCTGCACACGTGAGAGCGCCTCTGCCGCCCCTGATGACACCTTGCGCCAGTCTCTAAGGCTGTGATACCGGGCGTGACCAGAGGGCGGCGGCAGCTCACAATGATGTGATCAATTGAACGTGAAGAGGGACACCTGCGAACCCAGGTGCCACGGCAGGTGCTGCCCATAGGCGGGTCAGGAGGGCATAAAGGACGCGGCCCCCGCTTTCCCCGCAGAGTTTTCGCAGCCTGCAGGAGGGAAGGACGTGCGAGGCGGATGCGTGAGGATATGGGGGTGCTGGCCAGTGCTGGTTTGTTGCTATTGCTAGTCATGGGCCTTCCCAGAAGCCTAGGTGAGCCCAGGCCCCTCGTTACCGGGACTGTGGAGGAGACTGAGCATTCTGGAGAGGGAAAACTTCATAACTCCTTGCCTCAGGAAGGCTGGGTGGTATAGGCACACCTGAGGCATTTGGGAAGAAAGCGTGAGGGGGTGGTGCACGCCCAGATGTCCCCAAAGGAAGGCCTCGGCCAGATTTCCTTTTTGAAATTTTAGATTCTAGAGTTCAAGTTTTTAGGCACACCTGCTAACTATGTGTGTGCTAAGGAGCCTGCTCCAAGGAAACCTAACCAAGTAGAAGTAACTTAAAGTCAAGTATCTCCCTTCCAGAGTAGTACATGTCATTTCCCAATATCTTTGTTTCATTTTGTTTTGTTTGTTTGAGACAGAGTCTCGGTCTGTCGCCCAGGCTGGAGTGCAGTGGAGCAGTCATGGCTCCCTAAACCTCCAGGGCTCATATGATCCTCCTGCCTCAGCCCCCCAGTATCTGGGACCACAGGCATGTGCTACCACATCTGGCTAATTTTTGCATATTTTTGTAGAAGTGAGGTCTTATCACGTTGCCCATGGTCCTAAACTCCTGCGTTCAAGCGATCAGCCCACCTGGGCCTCCCAAAGTGCTGAGATTACAGGCCTGAGCCACTGCACCTGGCCTCTGATATCTTTAACCCAACTTAAATGTGCATATTCCCAGAGTAAGCCCTAAGTCACCTACCAGAGGCAGTGCTGGCTCCTTCCTGTCCAGTGGTAGCACAGACTGAAAGGGTGTAGGCAGGAGGCAAATTCTGGTTAACCCGGGTGCCTTGGGATTTTCTGAAGAAAGTATTGAGAGAAGAATGTGATAGTCTGCAGCTAAGTGGTATCATAACGTCTGTGCCAGGCCAGGAAAATCCAAACAGGAAATCTTGGTAAAGTAAACTCTTAAATAAGATTCTGTGTGTGCACTCACACACTGTGCACGTGTGTGAGTGCACACATGCACGTGCTCTCTTCTACAAAGGACTGAAGTGTGGAATTCGCGTGGTCAACATGAAAAATAAGGAACCTGTTGTGGGATCTGGGTTCTTCTCTAGAATTAGTAGTTGGAGAAATTCAACAGTGGCTGGACATCCTTGGCAGGTCAGTACAACAATGGCATTGATTTCTTAATGCGAAAACGGTGAAATATTTCCTTTGTTTCAAAACCAAGAATCCAGGTTGATAAGCAGTTTTTCTCCTGACCTCCTCTAGCTCTCTACCAAAAAGTTTACTTCCAATTTATGTCAGTATTTGAAGAACATTATGTCTGATTAGAAGAATTGATATCCAGTGTTTCTGATGGAGATACATCTGTGGGGAGACATATTAGCTGCATTTGTAACTTTCTTCTTGGGTAGGTCTCCCTAAAATTAAATGAGCACCACTTCTGTGGAGGAAGCTTGATTCAAGAAGATCGAGTTGTTACAGCAGCACACTGCCTGGACAGCCTCAGTGAGTAAGTTGTGAACTTCCATTACTTGTCAGGCCCTGATTCCTGGCTATGGGACTGGGAGATTTGTTGCTCTAAATAGGTTCATTTTCAGTCCCTTTCTTTACTTTTCTTTTTGTTTTTTTGAGATGGAGTCTCACACTGTCACCCAGGCTGGAGTGCAATGGCATGATCTCTGCTCACTGCAACCTCCACCTCCTAGGTTCAAGTGATTTTCCTGCCTCAGCCTCCCAAGTAGCTGGGATTATAGGTGCCTGCCACCAAGCCCAGCTAATTTTTTGTATTTTTAGTAGAGATGGGGTTTCACTATATTGCCCAGGCTGGTCTCAATCTCCTGACCTCGTGATCCACCTGCCTCAGTCTCCTAAAGTGCTAGGATTATAGGCGTAAGCCACCACGCAAGGCCCCTCAATCCCCTTCTTAATTTTGCCTCCCAGTGTACCCACACACTGATCTTCCTGATTCCCGGAAAGGTGTATCTGTCCCAAGATTTCCAGTGCTTCCTGTTCTACTGAATAGAGACTCTAAACAATCCAGGACATCATCTATAATTTATGAATTTAGTGCTTGGATAAAGGCAGTGGTTACTTATTATAATAAAGCATGAACAAAAAATGTTAAATGGAGCCTCCAAAGTTTTGATCATCTGGGTTTAAATAATTAGGAGGGAAAAAACTGCAGAAATTACAAATACTTGACCAGATCAAAAGAGGGTATATATAAGAGAAAAGAAGGAACAGTTCTAGAAAGCAATTTTTATATCCTGTTACAAATGGCATAGCATGTGTGAACTATGGTTTGTATATGAAAGAAGAAAAGGAGGCAATATTTAAATACTTGACTCAGAAAAATGGAAACATGACTGAAAACCATGACTTTTTCTAGATTAAAAAAAAATTATGACCATTGGTAATGATAATAAGGAAAACCTTCTTCAAAGACTTGGGGATGCTTAAAGGTACATTAATCACTTTTTCTTTAATGACATCCCACCAAGAAATCTTGCCTAGGGGAAACAACTACTTATGAAAAATATTTTCCTTTGGTTTTAGGAAGCAACTGAAGAATATAACTGTGACATCTGGGGAGTACAGCCTCTTTCAGAAGGATAAGCAAGAACAGAATACTCCTGTCTCAAAAATTATTATCCATCCTGAATACAACAGCCATGAATATGTGAGTCCTGATATTGCACTGCTGTATCTAAAACACAAAGTCAAGTTTGGTGAGTATGGAGAGTTAGACTATTAAAAATCCAATGGGGAAAAACTGCTAATTATATACAAGTTAACTTTAATTTCTGTGTGGCTGTCTAGTAATAGAATAGCTAAGCTTTGTTTCTTTTTAAAATAATTTTGTTCAATCCATAACCTATTAAAAAATAAACTACTGTACAGGCTACATGTCCCAGCCACGAATTACTTATGCTTAACAATCAACTTTTTTCCCTTTTATTTATTTCTATTGATACACATTAGATGTACGTATTTTCAGGGTACATATGATAATTTGAAACATTTGTATAATCAAATCAGGGTATCTATCACCTTAAATATTTATAATTTTATATGTGATAGGAACACTTGAATTATTTCTCTTCTAGCTATTTTGAAATATACAATCAATGAATGCTAATTGTAGTCATCCTACTGATCTATCAAACATCAGGTCTTATCTCTTCTAAGTGTATATTTGTAACCATTATCAACCCCTCTTCATCCTCCTCTCTTCCCTACCCTTCCCTGCCTCTCATAAGCACAGGTTTAATCTCTATTTTCATGAAATGTAGTATTTTAGCTCCCACGTAAGTGAGAATATGTGGTACTTGTCTTTGGCTTATTTCACTTAACATCCATGTTCAGTTCCATCTGTGTTGTTGCAAATGACAAGATTTCATTCTTTTTATGGCTGAATAACATTCCATTGTGTATATATACTACATTTTCTTTATTCATTCATCCATTGATGAACAACTTAGGCTACGTCCATATGTTGGCCAATTGGTATTTTAAGGACTTCTGTGTCTTGGCTGGACTACATTCTACCTACCTGCCTGTATTCATCTCTAAACAAAAAGCTTTAAACATTTGAAAATGTTTTCAGAGACTTCTTTCTGTAATTACTGTGAACAAGATATAACACTCTCTCAGCACAGGTAACATAAACATTCTGGGTAAAACACTAAAAACCTTATTAAAAAAAAATGCCAAAAAAGCAAGTATGTTAAGTGGCCAAAACCAAAGCACAAATCCAGAGTAGTTAGCCAGGGCACTGCCCTTGAGGGATCAAACTGATCTTTAAGGTCCTAGAGGTTTACCTGGCCATCAGGGGAGCTGTAAAGACCCTGGAACTTTCTGAAAGGTGATGCTTTGAAAGGTAGGGAGAAGGAGTTAGGGGAGTTATGTTACAGAAAGTGAGGGAATAAGGACACTTACTTGTGTCAACCTTGGCTTTGGAGAGAGGGTTCTCAGAAGAATCTGTAATCATGAGCCAGGCTTCAGTCAGGTTTGATGCTGGAATTGACATCACCTGTGTGGCACAAAAACGCCAGGGCAAGATTTTAAAGAGGTTCCAGGTGAGGATTCAGACTCTGGCAGAAGCAAAAATAAATCCTCTCTGAGATAATGAAATTTAAATCCCAGCTTCAATATATTCCCATAAAGTTTTAATGAATTCAAGCACACAACCATGCAGAGAAATTTGCATTGAAGATAGAATCTGAAGCATTAACAATCAGGTTACAAATTTCATGATAGAGAATAGAAAATAAGTATAGTAAAGCTTAAAGAAGTAAAAGTGTATTGAAAATGACTGAACCATGCTAAACTATTAGATGGAAGGGAAATTTGAAAAGAAGCTAATAAAACATGAAAATATAAAAATGTAATTGGAATTAGAAACTCAACAGAATACTTATCTACCAGATTAGATTAGGTGTATGGAACTAGACAAACTGAAATAATTACCCAGAGGTGACAATGAGGGTAAGAGACAGAGAAGACGGTGTAGTAAACATCCATTTTTAAGTTTAGAAAGAATATGGACATTGGAGGAGAGAGACTGTAATTTAAGTTAAAGTGACTGAGAATTGACCATAATTGAGATCCAAATATTTAGATTTAAAAAGCCTAGTGACTCTATGATATAAAAACTAATTTTATATCTAGACATGTGTGTAAAATGTAGCACACTAAAAGTCCCAAAAGAATCTAGAAGGAAAAAGACATATTAACAAAAAGGAATGTCACTGACTTCTCAACAATAGTAAGTTAATGTCAGAAGATAGTGGAACAAGATTATCCAAATACTGAGAATATCTCAAACTGGAATTGTATATGAGAGGAAACTATTGCCCCATTTTTTCTTTCCTTTATAGCAAGTCAATGCTAGTTGTGTCAATTTCGTTTCCTCAATTCTCATAGTTGGATATATTAGGTTAAGATGTCTGTTCTACATTTAAAAAGATCAAACTTTCACTCCGCTGTTCCATAAATTTAGTCTTGTCACAGTCACTAATGACCTCTATATTGCTAAATTCAAAGTAACTTCTCAAATCCCATCTTTCTGGATAAGAGATTTTTAGCAGAATTGCTCATATGTTCTTGGAAATATTTTCTTCACTTGAATTCTGGGAATTCATTAGTTATTCTCCTACCCTATTGTACCCTTTCTTAGTCTTCTATGATGATTCCCCCTCTTCTCCTTGACTTCATATTGTTAGAGTACCCAGTCTCAGCCCTGGACATCTTATTCCCTAGTTGTACTCATTCTCTTAGTGATCTCATCCAGGATAAAGAATTTAAACACCATCTGCTACTTGAAGACTACTCTTAGCCTAGGTTTCTTTATATTGCATATGCTTCTGAAATTAGTGGAATTCTTGTAACCAATTGTCAACTGCTCATGCAACTGGATAGCTAATAAGCATCTCAAACTTAATATGTTTAACACAGAATCCTGACCACCTCCACATCTCATGGATGCCTACCTATAGCCTCCCTCATTTCAGTTAATGACAACTCCATCCTTCCAGTTGATTTGGCTAAAAAACTTTGGATTCGTTTTTTATTATTCTTTCTCTGATACTGTACATCCAATGAGTCATAAAATCCTGTTGCTTCTGCCTCACTCACTTCACGCTTTTGCTATCTTATTCCAGGCGATACTACCATCATGTCTTACCTGGATGAATTTTAGTGGTCTCTGAAATTGTCTCAAGCTGCTTCTGTCTTCCCAATATTTGTTATTAACCCAGTGACAAGAATAATGCTTTTTAAATTCATAAATCAGGTTATGTCACCCTATTCATACCACTTCAGTGGTTCTTTATTACATTTAGATGAAAATCAATGTCATTATTATCTGAACACCCTCTTTCCTAGTCCTACATCTAACCTCTGATTTGTTTATTTTTTACAAAACCTTTTACTTAATCTATTCCAGTCATCCTGGTCTCCCACTGTTCCCTAACCATATATGCATGACCCTGTAGCAAGGATTGTTACTCCATCAAATGCCTTCCACCCAGATAACTGCATGATTCCTTTCCTTAGCTTCAAGACTGCTCAGATGTCACCTGCTCAGTGAGACTTTTCATGATCATCATATTTAAAATGATTTTTCCCATGCCATTCTCCCTCATCTCCAGACTTATCTCCTTTATCCTAATTTTTTCCATAGCGTGTGTTTACCACTGAACAACTTATATTTGCTGTCTGTTTCATCACCCCTCTCCCAACACACAAACGCAAATACACACTCGTGTAGGCTCTCCCCAGAGATATTTTTCTTTCTATTCATTTTATTGAGACCTAAAAGAGTGATTAACACAGGATATTTTTATCAAGTTGTTCTACTGTCTTCTGACATTCACTTATTGCTGTTGAGAAATCAATAACATTCTTTTTTTGGGTAATATGATTTTTTCCTTCTAGATTTTTTTGAGATCCATTATTTGTTTTTTGTGTGCTACATTTTCAGCATGTGTCTAGATATAACGTTATTTTTTTGTATCATAGTTGGAGTTACTAGGCTTTTTAAATCTAAAGATTTGGCTATCAATGATGATCAATCCCTCAGCCACTTTCTCTTAAATTACAGTCTCTCCCCACCTTTATCTATATTTTTTCTAAACTTCCCAGGTTTTTTACAGTTCCTTTCATGGCCAGGTAAATTTCTAGGATCTTAAAGATCAATTTGATACCTCAAAGGTGGTGGCGTGGCTAATTCCTCTGGATTTGTGTTCAATAACTGTTGAATGAAAAACTATCCTTTCAAAACAAAAGCATAGTCTAAAATGTTGATAGGTTAAGGGGATCGTGGTGGTGTGCAGAACAATAGGTTATGTTTTTCCTTGTTTTACTTTTTCTGCATTTCTCTAAATTTCTGTAACTATGAAGCAGTTTTATATGGGGAGGGCAAAACTTAAAATATGTCATTATTACATTTAGGAAGAAAGTATAGAACCCATGAAATCAACAGATAGCACTTTTCCAAATATATTCAACATGACTTATTTATCCATGAACCTCACGCCTTTGGTGTTGTTTTCTCAGGAACTGCTGTTCAGCCAATCTGTCTTCCCCACAGTGATGATAAAGTTGAACCAGGGATTCTTTGCTTGACCAGTGGATGGAGCAAGATTTCCAAGAGTAAGAAACATTAAAATAACTCAATACTTCTTCCAGCTCTCTGAATGTTCAGGGGAAGCAGAAATAATTTTGTTGACCATGTATCAAAAGGCTTATACTTTTTTTTAAGACTATTCATATCACTCCTGCTGCTGCCAATTTGGTTAGGTATAGCAGATAAAGGAAGTTGGATAGAACTATGATGGATGAGGAGGAATACGGCAAAAGGATAATCAGGAAATAGTAACAATAGTTAAGCCTCTTTGTCTTTAATATTGTGACCTTTTTAAAAAGTCAGACTCATAGAAACAAAAAGCAGAAGGGTGATTACCAGGGATATGAGAGAGGGGAGGGGGGAAGATGTTGTTTAAAGGATGTATATGTGGAATTACATGACAAGTAAGTTCTGGGAACTCAGTATACTGCATGGGAACTATAGTTAATATATTGAATGCTTGAAATTTGCTAAGAGAGTAAATGTTAAGTATTCTCACTACAAAAAAAGTTAACTCTGTGAGGTGATGTAACATTAATTAGCTTGATTGTGGTAATCACTTTACAATGTATACGTATATCAAAACATCACTTTTGTACTCCTTGAATAAATAGTTTTTGTCAGTGATACCTCAAAGCTTGACAAAAATACATTGTGATTTTTTATTTTATAAAGAATTTTTGGCAGGGCCCAGTGGCTCACACTTGTTATCCTAGCACTCTGAGAAGCCACGGCAGGAGGGTGGGAGCCAAGCTATTCAAGACCAACCTGGATAACATAGGAAGACCTTGTCTCCACACACACACACACACAAAAATTTAAATTAGCCAATTGTGGTAGCATGCCTGTAGTTCCAGCTACTTGGGAGACTGAGGTGGGAGAATCACTTTCTCTCAGGAGGTTGAGGCTACAGTGAGCCATGATTGCACCACTGCACTCCAGACTGAGTGACAGAGGGACACTGTCTCAAAAAAATAAAAAGATTTCTATAAAACATTGCTTTATTGACCAAAGTTTTCCTCTTGGGGAAGCATTTGTTTAAAGAATCCACAATTAAACAATTGCCTATTTTACCTTAAAAATCTGCTAAAGTTTTTAAAAATGTCCTCTATCACTTATCTGATTTTTAGAAGTGAATATGATTCATACAGAAAAACAATGACTTCCACCTGTGGTTAAAAATCTGTTTGAAATAGTTTTAAGAGTTTAAACTATTTTAATAGTTTTAAAATACTTCCACCACAGGTGGAAGTCATTGTTTTTCTCATTAATTTGTTTCCATGAGGATATTGTGTACTAACATATCTGCCCTCTCTCTACAGCATCAGAATATTCAAATGTCCTACAAGAAATGGAACTTCCCATCATGGATGACAAAATGTGTAATACTGTGCTCAAGAGCATGAATCTCCCTCCCCTGGGAAGGACGATGCTGTGTGCCAGGTTCCCTGGTGGGGGAGTGGATGCCTGCCAGGTACAAAAGTATAAACCAGCCTAGTTGTTCAGTAACATGTGAGTGAAAGTAGACTCTGCCTTTCCTCAAAAGAAGCTTATGCTTCTTCTGTTACTGGGTCAAAATTCCTTTTCCCTTCATCTTTCCATCTTATTTCTACTGAAAAAGTATAATTGACCTGAGCAGAAAGAATTATTTCCTATATTCTTGTTTCTCTTCAGATCATATAAATCTTTCACCTTTTACTAAAGAATTATTTCCTGTCTCCATGACCATTCCTACCCCTACGCTTCTTTTATTTTGGTGGGTTGGGGAAAGGAGTTAGTTTCAATGTGTTCAACCCAATGGAATCAAGCAATATCACCACTTTCACAATCTTACTAGGTCCAGCTCTGAATTCTTCATTTCACATGTTGTTAAGCATTGTGGATTCTTTTCTTTCATGCAGAATATATTTGTACAAAGTTTGACCAAAGATGCATAGCTTTAGTGACTGTTGTATAAGGGATATTGTGAATGACCACGCTCTCCCAAGGCTGACACAACTTCACAAAGAACAGCAATCTTCACAACATATTTAGAGGGACAAGGAGGTCAATTCGTGAAACACATTAGTTTTAAGTTTTAGACAGGTCTTCCAAGTAAATTATCTTCTCTTTTAAGGTGGAGCAGTAAGGAGTCATTATTCTTTGCCAGAAAGCATCTTGAAAATATTGTGGGAAGCTCTCTGAAATTATCTGTTGGACGGATTTTTGAGTTTTTCTTCAAGCGGGTAACAGGAGTTTGGGAGGGAGGAAATTGAAACTTACACTTATGCCACTTTCTAAATTGGATAGGCTAAAGGTGCTTTTTGCTATCTGTATTCATTATAGATAATCCTTTCATGGATGAAGCCCTCCTCCACACCTTTTGAGGAGTTTAATCTGACACAAGGTTGCCTGAAACATACTCTTAAAGCATGGATTCTGGAACCTTATTGAAGATGTAATCCTAAAATCTTGGGCTCTTTATTCTGTGGCATGAGAGTCAATGTGGTCCTTTACATACATCCCCAGGGACAAAATTAGGTTTCCCAGGCTTTCCGTTTTTAAAGCCTTGAGGCCTTGAGCTATCTTGGGGGATCCATTCACTGTTGCTCTATAGTACTGGAAGATACCTAGTCTTTACTAGCAATTCCAGGTGACAAACTATAGTAGGAGCATCTATGTGAACTACCTCCCTTCTAACGATTTTTAGAATGTACACAGTAGTGAAAAAAAAAAAAAAAAACTGGAAGAGAAATTGTCAACCTAACAAGATTGCTGACAGTAAGTATAAAGAGATTTTATCTGGATGAAAAGATTGTGCTTGAAACTAATGATAAGGACCCAAGAAAATAGATAAACAAAAGGTTGATGGATACTGACTAGTGGACTTCTTTGCCTCTACCTCTGTCCACTTTGTGATGACTGCTGATGTTTGTGGAACTGATGAAATGTTTTACAGGCTATTTTTAAATTTTCTCTTTTTTTTTTTTTTTTACCATGAAAGGGGGACTCTGGAGGACCACTGGTTTGTAGAAGACGTGGTGGAATCTGGATTCTTGCTGGGATAACTTCCTGGATAGCTGGTTCTGCGGGAGGTTCAGCTCCTCTAAGAAACAGCTATATGAAGGCATCACTTGGCATTTTCTCCAAAGTGTCTGAATTGATGGATTTTATCACTCAGGACCTGCTCACAAGTAGGTGAATTCTTTCTTCCTCATCTCATTCTAACTCAAGGGTAGTTACTCTGCTATGTTGCAATATTATCAGATCTAAGCTTTAGAACAAAGCAAGAATATGGCTGGTTTTAAATTCTTAATCCAATGTAGATACTTGTATCTCTGAAACCCTGAGTAAAGAATTCTGTTTATGTAACTTGAACAAACCAAATCCCTGTATAAAATTTTCACGAGATGGCTTTTTACATTTATGAGATTTTATTAACAGACCTTGAAAATAGGCTCATCAGGGGATTCTGTCTTCATTTTTTTCAGTTGGCATATTTTTTCTCTGTACTATTTAAAAATACTAAAAATAAATCACTCATCTTCCACTTTGCCCACTCAACTTTGTTAATTTTACTTGGCAACGATGAAAATGTGAGGCCTTGGAGAGTTAATTTGGTTCTGTGACAATAAAATCTAGATTAGGAAAATGTGGACCTTGGAGATACCAAACCTGCCCTCTGCAGAATGAAAGAGGCCTGAGAGAACACAGCTTTCAGGAACAAACAGTTGAATATAGAAACCTAATATTCTTTTAAATGGCAAGACCCAGAGCCCAAGAACATAGCCTTCTCGCCATCCTTCATCTGTTTCTCATGGCAGTCCAAGGTCAGCCACCTGACTGAGGCTTTTAGAAGTGGCACTGTGGATCCCACCGCAGACCAGCACTTCCTCAGACTGCTACAGACTCTCGTTTTGTCTTAGATGTAAAAGTCCTCTTCACTGCTCCACTGCAGGGGAACAGTTCTCTTCTAGTAGCAATTGTGTTCCATTTGATCACCTGGAAGGGAAGGTTGACAAAGTTTAAAAGCCCTGAACAAAGGTTAATGGTAACAATAAGATTTTACAAGAGCAATGAAATCCGACATTAGTGGTTAATTCCAGTCAAATGAACATCAGAATATGATAAGTGATTTATTTAAATAATGCTTCCTTAGGATAATCTTCTAAGCTTCTCATCCTCTATTTGCTGATTTTTTTTCTAGTTCATTTTCTCCTATCTCTTTCCAGAAATGGCTATGCTCTGGAAATAGGGTTAAATTTAGTTTTCTTAACCCTTAAAAATGAGAGAATTGAATCTTTCACATCTTATTTTTAAAGCCACACTAGCCATCAAATCAAATAAATTGCTTTCTGCTTCCACATAGTCCTTTAGCCTTTTTAAAACACACAGTGAGTTGCTGACTCTGAGAAAAGATTCCCTCTGCACTGATTTTAGTAGTAGCAGAAATTATAATTCTTAATATTCTTTTAACGTTGCATTGTTAAAAATTTTTCATTTAAATGATTATTATTGGGAAAGGCATTGACTCTTTATACCTTCTACAGGTTTGAATCGGGGCCAACCCCACTCAAAAGTGAGCCTAAGATACATAACAAAGGCCCTGAGTTCTGTTCAAGAAGTGAACAGAAGCCGGAGAGGAGAGGGTATGTGAAGTTCTAATTAGAGAAAGAAGTTGACTTGAAAAAATGTCATCAGAGGAGCACAAACGGAAGGACTGTGCCATATTTATTATCTGAGTTTTGTTTAAATTCATGAATGTAAACTTTAAATGTCCTGCTCATATTCCTACATAGGTTTCAGCATTTAAAACCCAACCCTGGCATCTAAAACTTTTGAGTGAATGAGGGATATTTGCCATGCCATTGCTAAAAGTTTTAAATCATATTTACTTTATTTTATTTTGAAATGGAGTCTTACTCTGTCATCCAGGCTGGAGTACAGTGGCAAGCAATCTCAGCTCACTGCAACCTTTGCCTCCTGGGTTCAAGTGATACTCCTGCCTCAGTCTCTGAAGTAGCTAGAATTACAGGTGCCCCCCACCATGCCCAGCTAATTTTTATATTTTTAGTAGAGACAGGGATTCACCATGTTGGCCAGGCGTAAGCCACTGCATCCAGCTTATTAAGCGTCTTTTTTTTTGGCGGGGGGGGACTGAGTCTCGTTCTGCCACCCAGGCTGGAGTACAGTGGCATGATTTTGGCTTACTGCATCCCAGGTCCAAGCAATTCTCCTGACTCAGTCTTCTGAGTAGCTGAGACTACAGGCATAGACCACCACATCTGGCTTGCTTGCTTGCTTATTTATTTATTTAAGTAGAGATAGTATTTCATCAGGCTTGATCTTGATCTCCTGACATCAAGTGATGCACCCACCTTGGCCTCCCAAAATGTTCTTTAGCATCTTTATACAAAGGTATTTAACCTTACCAGAGACAGCCTAGAAAGAGATGGGAAAGATGGATAAATGCTGCATATGAAGAGCTGTTTTAAAAGATGTTGATTTTGATTCAAATTATGAATTCAGAAATGTTTTTAAAGTCTGTTTGCTAATCCAATGTCTAAATCATAGCCTTTAAAAATATTTGCACTCCCATAAATATAAATAATATAAATTGTACAGCTTCAGGCTGGCCTCTGTATCATTTTGAAATGTTGTCTATAGGTGGGGCAAATGATCGACTTCTTTCCCATGTTTTTGAAGATTGTAAACCTCAAGGGACAGTGTTATTTGGAGAAAGTAGGAAGATTCGTTACCCCCATTCCAAAGGAGACAACTATTCTCATAATTGGTATGTATCCCACATAGGAATGATTCCTGGGGCTTTTCTTCCCACAAAATGGGGCAGTTTAAAAGACACTACTGTAGCATTTTTTTTTTTTTTTGAGACAGGTTCTCCCTATGTTGCCCAGGCTGGGCTTGAACTCCTGGGCTCAAGGTATCTTCCCACCCCAGCCTAAAGTAGTAGGGATTACAGGGGCATCCCACTACACCTGGCTTATTTTGGAAATTTTATCTAGTATCTCCAGTTCTAATATAAAAGTATATGTTTCATCTGATATTTCTTGGTTGGTGAATATTTACTCATCAATATAAATCATCAACCTGAATAGTTACTAAAGTTTACTTGAATTGATGTATTCAAATAATGTAACACAGCATATGGTAATGAGATTGCTGTGGGATTTAGTGATTAGTTCTGTCACACTTATTTCTATAAACAAGCAAAATATATAAATATTTTCCTTAGCATCACCTAGAAGATGGAAAATATTTCATGTCCTATAAGCTTGAGTATCTTTTTATAACTACATACCCTGTCCTCTAAAATATATCTAAATATAGCTAAAACTCTTTAAGCTTTAGAAAATCATTCTGCAAGTATCTCATTTTCTTAAGTAATCTAAATTCATTTTTAAAATTATACTGAGAATCGAATAGCATACAACAAAGATAACAGTTCTACAAGTTTATAATCTGGTAGAAAGAGACAAAAATAACTATACTACAAAAGAAGAGGAAATAAGCTTTATAATCCACATCATCCAAGAACGTGCACACTATAACAAAATAGAAGCTAATTATCTTTGGTGTGGTTTTTAAGGTGTGTGTGTGTAGAGTGGTTAGAAGTGTGGGGAGAGATAGAGATGTTTTAGTGAGAAAGATGGCACTGAAATGAGGTGTTGAAGGGTAGTTACGATTTTATAGCTCATGAGGTCTCTGGTAGCCCTAATATTGAAGATTTCAACAGATGGAGATGAGGCAAGAGGTCATTCTAGTCCAAGGGAATTAGGTATAAGCAATGTCAAGGAGGTGGGAAGATTGGAGTTGTTGGGGTTCTGAGTATCCCAGTGTGGCTGGACAGCAATGTGAATGGGAGCTGGGGTGGCAGTGGATGATGGGGGTAAAAGGGATGGTTGAGACTTAATTGCAGAGGACCTTGAGTTCCACGCAGAGAGATCAGACCTTATGCTATAATCAATGGGTATGCTAAAACTAAAATGATGGAAAGATGATAACTTTCAAAACTAATGTAAAATGAATACAAATATTTCAAGTACAGATAGAAAAGATGTGGTTTAATTTCAGCTCATAATTTAAAAGGCTTAATGGTCTAAACTGACTTTATCTCAGGTAAACTTGTGATGATAGAGAATGCCAGTAAAACTTTTGTCACCTTTGCTTAAGCTACTAAAATAATATTTAGAACAAGAACTTAGGAAAATATTTTATTAGAGTCTCAGGGAGGGGGCCTCTGGAGTATAATCTCTAGACAGGGAGATTGATAAGCTAGAAATTATCTGAAGGACAATGACCAAGATGGGAAAAATTCAGAACAATGTTTTGAGAGTTATGGTTGTAGGAACCATAATACTTTTTGATCCAAAGAAGACTGAAGAGGAGGAAAGAAATGTCTCAATGTATCTTAGAGGCTACTAGAGAAGCAGAATTAGACTTGTTCTGAGTAATTGCAGAGCTGAGAACTAAGATCCCTGGGTAGAAGTTAGAAGGCAGAGTTCAATCCAATATTAAGTCATTTCTTGTATGAGTGATTTCTGAAATGAACTAGCCTGCTTCAGGAAGTAATCAAGTAAGAGACATGCAGATGGCAACCTACTTATCCCCAAACACAGTGGCCAAACTTTGACAATGAAACATTTCAGAGATCTCTGCAAGAAAAAGTTTCAAGAGAAGGAGGGATATTGTAGAAATAAAAATCAGATAAAATGCTATAGCATACGGAAACTCAAACTTCATGAATTGAGCAGAACTGTAGGATCAGAAGCCATATTCATAATGGTTTAAGTGATTATTGAAAATTTGGTATCCAAATAATCAACAAATTTTTATTGAACCCTTAGAATGTGTCAGACACTGTCTTAGGTGCTAAAGATACAACAGTGAATGAAGCACACAAAAATGCTTGCCTTGGTGGGGCAAGTTAGAAGGTAGAAATGGAATAATTTTTAAGTGTTGCATACAATAATAGAAGATAGTAAATGCTACACACACACACACACACACACACACACACACACACAAGGCAAAAAATGGGAGGTGGAGAATGAGAGTATACAATATCAGTTTAGATAGGGAAGACTACGTCATAAAGATGATACTTGGAAAAAAAGACTTGGATAAAGCAAGGGAGGGAATTATATGGTCGTTTTGGAAAGGAACACTCCAGCCAGAAGGAATGGTAGGTGTGAGACAAGAATGCATTGGTATTTAGGGAATAGCAAAGAGACCAGAGAGCCAGAGTTGAGTGAGTGGAGAGGGGCAGTGTGGTCAAATTCGTTAGGACTTACAGGCATGAAAATGAACTTTGGATTTTACTGCAAGAGAGCTAGAGAGCCATTGGAGGATTTTGAAGAGAGGAAGATCATGATCTGACACCTTTTTAAAAGATCCCTTTTGTTACTGTGTTGCAAACATACTGTAGGCAGGCAACACTACAAGTTGGGAGACCAGCTATTGGAATAGTCCAGGTAAAAGATGATGTAATCGTCCAGGTAAAAAAAACTACATTTGTAGAGGTGGAGAAGAGTGGCAGGGCCATAGGATTTGTTGATGAGTTGACAATTTGGGTTTTGAGAGAGAATGAGATCCTGATATGGGTAAACTAAGAGTTTTTGGTTTTTTGTCTATATATATATATGTGTGTGTGTGTGTGTGTGTGTGTGTGTGTGTGTGTGTATAATTGCATTTTAGGTTTTGGGGTACATGTGAAGAACGCGCAAAATTGTTGCTTAGGTACATGCATGGTAATGTGGTTTGCTGCCTTCCTCTCCATCACCTATATCTGGTATTTCTCCCCATGTTATCCCTCCCCAACTCCCCACCCCCACTGTCCCTCCCCTAGTTCCCCCCCACAGACCCCAGTGTGTGATGCTCCCCTCCTTGTGTCCATGTGTTCTCATTGTTCAACATCCGCCTATGAGTGAGAACATGCAGTGTTTGATTTTCTGTTCTTGTGTCAGTTTGCTGAGAATGGTGGTTTCCAGGCTCATCCATGTCCCTACAAAGGGCATGAACTCATTGTTTTTATGGCTGCATAGTATTCCCTGGTGTATATGGGCCTCATTTTCCTTGTCCAGTCTATCATCAATGGGCATTTGGGTTGGTTCCAATTCTTTGCTATTGTAAACAATGCTTTAATGAACATTCGTGTGCATGTGTCCTTATAATAGAACGATTTATACTCCTTTGGATATATACCCTGAGCTGTTGGAAGAATAGAACCGTTGTCTGCAATGAGAAAGTTGGGGCAGTGGCTTTTAGACAATAAGGTCAAGAGATGCATTTTGTTTATTTTGATAGAGTAGACTCAACTGTTCTTATAGACAGAGTAAGAATCAAGAGCCATAGGAAACACATAGAAATGTGAAGTAAGCTTTCTGAGAACACAACAAATAAAAAGGGTTTGGCATTGAAAAAAGGGAAGAATAATTCCTTTTCTGGAAAAGCAACAAAGAAGGTAATCTATAGAAAAGTTGAGGGAATTTACAATGAATGTCTTAGTTATTACATGAAACTTTAATTGCTTCAAGTTTAGAAGATGAAGTAGAGTTAAAGTAGTTAAGATGTTAGTTTATAGGGACTAAAGTAAGGAGTCAACCAGAGATTAATAAGACTTTCAGTAGCAATACAACCCAATTAGTATTAGCATCTATTTGTACTATATTTCAATAAATCAGAACAAAAAATTCATTGTAAAATACAACTTCAATAGGAGAAAACAAAATTCCCAAGATACGTTCATTTAAGGCTGAGTCACCAAAGACTATCTTCATTGTAAGGCTAAACAAGGCATAAACCCACCCACACAAAAAGTTACATGCCATAAGTTTAGTACTAGATGTAGGGAAAGGTAAAATATTCTTCAGGAATTTGAACCACAAGTTAATGCTCATGCAGATCTACCATCTAAATTCATACCTCAAGTGTAGTCCAAAATATGTCAAGTAGAAAAATTCGGTACTGTGAAGTTGATAGTGCACAATGTGACTGATGGAAGCGTATACAGATTCTGCCCAGAAGAACTCTTTCAATTCAGGTCTACAGAAATCATAAGACTCCTTTGTAAGATGAATTCTAATTTTAGAATGTTAACATATGAAAAAAAAATGTGTTTTAGAAATAAGGTATAGGGCCAATTTGCACAGTTAGTGACTTCCTCCGCATGCTAAGTAGCCTTAGATAGTGAAAGGGTTTTGTAAATTCCAACTGGAGCTAACTAGGAAATCACAAGGGAGACAGATAATACAAAGAAGGAGGAGAGTCTCACCCAGGTTGCCCTGCTTCTTTTCATACCGATGGGAGACATTGCATTTCTCAGCGCCTAGATCAGTGCCTGGCACATAATAAATGCTCCATAGATTATTTGGATTAGTAAATCAATGATTAGTTTGGAGATCCCTCTCTCACTTAGCTTGACCAGACCTCAAAATCCTTTTAAAACAAATTACTAATAATCAAAGTTGGCATAGATTTGAAACCTATTTTTTGTCTTTGTGCTAGAGATTTTGAGGCCAAAGATAATTTGATGAAACAATTTGAGAAAGCACTGGCCTTTGAAGTCATAAAGCCTAAATTACAGTTCCACTTACATAAGAGATGTGATGAATCTTTTATTATTAATGCCAGTTTTCCCACTTGGAAACAGAGGAATCATTTCTCTCCTGCCTACCTCAGAGAGATGTAAGGAATCTCAAAAATGATGATGGATGTGGAATGCTTTTTTCCATTGAAGTCCTTAGCAAGTGAGCTTTATAATATTTTAGACAGCTT